TTTTTTTTTTTTTAATATAATCAATCAAAGAGGAAAAGGGCTAATTAGTTTTTTGTTACAATACCCCATAGTCTCTGCACATCTCAAAGGCCCGGGAAAGGATTCTAGCCGCATTCTCCTCTTGTGCTTTGGTAGAAGACTCCAACACTATTAATTTGTAATAAAATTTGCCATCATTTCGATAAAATTGAAGTTGTGAAACTTTCATGAAACCGAACCGTGCACATAAAAAATGAAACATTTTTTTAAACTAACTGCAGAATTGCACGATTCGGCTTGATTATTCGAGTTTTCGACGCATATAAATTCGGCTCATGCAAAAACTATACCGACACGACATCAAATAACAAAACCTAAAAAACAAATTTGTAAAAACTAAACAAACCGCAACCCAAACACATAACAAACATAACCAAAAGCCCTACTAAAATAATGTTCGGAGCCGGTTTTTCAATTTCGGCTCGATTTTGCTAACTCTGAATTAGTTTCTTTTCCTCTATAAAAGATAAGAGAAGTTGTGATATATATAGATGTGGAGGATAGAAGAAGAAAGAAACCATATCCACCGGGGAAGGCATAGTGAGGCAGCGGCTCCAATACATGAGCTATAGTGACCACTTTAGAAGCATTATTATCATCATCTCCCCCGTTGGGTTTCAAGATTCTGCTGACGGCCCAGTCGAGCGCCTGAAAGCTCTCCTCACCGTCGTCTATGGCCACCAGCACGTTCATCGCCGCCTCCGGCTTGCCTGCTCCTCCGCCGCCGCCGCCGCTTGGCTCCTCCATCTATTCTATGATGTTAAAAAGGTTGCAACCTTAAAAAGCCCACTCTTTGATCAACTGATGTTCCGATTGTTTTACACAAAAATCATCAACTTTATAATAATCCGTTATTTTCTGAGTCCTGCTGCATGGAGGACAGGTGTTAGGCCTTCACTCTGCCAGCTGCTGGTTTTTTGTGACGTGTAAGTTGGAAATTGACAGCCAGTGCAGTGTGTGACTCAGATGGTTCTTGGGCCCGACAATGATTTTGGGGTGAACGGCGCCTTAGTCAAGGCCATTCGTCAAATGTTCCAACGAGACTGGACTATTAGTCTTCGACATGTGCATAGAGAGACATTTTTTGCTGTCGACTATTTAGCGAATCTAGCTTCTTCATTATCCGATTGATTTCCATGAGCTCTCTGCGCATCCTCCTAATGTGGAGGAATGATTTTCAACATGATATCATCGGGTGTAGTATCCTCGATGCATTCTTGTCTAATTTTTAAGCCTCTGGCCTCTTCTTAATTTGTACCAAAAAAAAAATATTAATATTAATATTATGGGGTGGAAGATAAACTATAGAATATTCTATATGTTTTGAAGAAAATATTCACTATTTTTACATATTGTATATATTTTATGACTAGTACGAATCCCGTGCGATGCACGGGTAGGAGATATTCATTAATATTTATAAATTAAAAATACTCATTAAATAAATATTTATAAATTAAAAATATTGAATCATTATGTAACACAATTTATCTATAGGTAAGAGACAATCGTTAATATTTACAAATTAAAACTATTTATTAAATAATATTTATAAATTAAAAATATAAAATCCATATGTAATACAATTTATTTATATTAAATTTAATTTTTTTTTAAATTACATAAAACATGTTTATTTAAAATTAGTACATTAACCCATACGGTGCACACATACCTGATAATAAAATGCATTATATTCATCTTAAGAAAAGTGTCATTTTAAAATTTTTATTTTGAAATTTAATTTGACTACTTCATGATTCCTCAAAGTAAATATTTTGGTAAACATTTGTAATGTATTTAAAAATCTACGTGAATAATAAGTATAATTATAAAATTTATATTGTTTCATTAGTTAATTTTTTTGTTTTGTTTTGTATAAATGATCCAAATTAAAAAAAA